TGTACTCCCAGCACTTTGGGAGGCCGAGGCGGGAGGATCACTTGAGGTCAGGAGTTCTGAGGTCAGGAGTTCTAGACCAGCCTGGCCAACATGGTGAAACTCTGTCTCTACTAAAAATACAAAAATTAGCTAGGCGTGGTGGCACATGTCTATAATCTCAGCTACTCAGGAGACTGAGGCAGAATCACTGGAATCCAGGAGGTGGAGGATGCACTGAGCCAAGACTGCACCACTGCGCTCTAGCCTGGGCGACAAATTGCAACTCTGTCTCAAAAAAAAAGGAAAAGAAAACACATATTTATCAACACTTAGAATCCCCTTACACAAATAAGGGAGAGTTTGTCATATAAAAATTTGTCATATGAAAATTCTTAGCACTTTTTTCTACGTTTTCTACATGATGTATAACCTTTTATAATTACATAACATTAAAATATATCATTCCAACACCTGTGAAAAGGGCTACATTTCTGTTAAATCACTGTATATCCAATTTGCACAAGGAAAATTTTTCTTAAACCACTATATATGTGTGCGTGTATGTGTGTGTGCGTGCGTGTAGTGATTTCTGTTAAATATTATATTTAACAAAAATTTCCCTGTGCATAGTGGATCAAGTTAACTGGCATAAAATGCTCTTTACTAAGAGCGACAAGATTTGCGGACCAGTAGCTCAGTCTCTAAGATTCAGTACTTCAGTGTTTCTTATTTTCTTTCTTTGGTCACACACAAAACCCTGATACGATTCTGAAATTCAGTAAATAAATGTCAGAGACATACTTACTACTTTAGACATTGAATCAAATTAATACTTCTACCAAAATATTCTTAAAACCCATTTTTAAGTAACTATTTCAATAGCTGTTTTTGGCATAGACCATTTCTGCCAGCTACTTGGGAAACTAAGGGAAAAGGTACCCATTGAGTATATGTTTGTCTTCATAGCATTTGTGAGAAAGACATTAAGGTACCTGGTTTTCTCTCACTAATAGTGGCGATGGAAAATCCCAGAAGAAAAATGCAAAAAGCCAAGCTTTCCAAATCAGTCATGCAAGATATTTTTTCTAGAGCAGGCATTGGCCTAGATCACACATGGTTTGCTGAGTCGCAGTCCTGGCATCATAAAGCTGAGAAGATACAGTGTAGGTCTGAAGCTGAGACAACAGCATAGTCACAAAGAACACGTGGTGGGAGTGGGTTCCACATGGGAAAAGCAACACTGAGAATAAGTTCATAAATATATGAACTTTGCCATATATATACATAGTGTGTATACACACTATTATCTGGTCTTTATTAAGATTTGCTTTATTATAGAAGAGAATGAAAAGCTATTTGAGATTGTAAATCCTTTCTAATTACAAAGGTAGTATCAAATGTCAAATTGGCTCTTAGAGGAGGTCTGGGTTGGAATGAACAAACGATTTGTTTATCCTTTGATTTTTTTTTAACTCACCATTATCACAAGGCTTAAAATACTTGTACTCTGTAACTCAGCTGTTAAATATATATATATGGAGGAGTTACAAATGAATTTCATTCTTTTTTTTTTTTTTGAGACGGAGTTTTGCTCTTGTTACCCAGGCTGGAGTGCAAAGGCGCAATCTCGGCTTACCGCAACCTCCACCTCCTGGGTTCAGGCAATTCTCCTGCCTCAGCCTTCTGAGTAGCTGGGATTACAGGCACGCGCCACCATGCCCAGCTAATTTTTTGTATCTTTAGTAGAGACGGGGTTTCACCATGTTGACCAGGATGGTCTCTATCTCTTGAACTCGTGATCCACCCGCCTCAGCCTCCCAAAGTGCTGGGATTACGAGCGTGAGCCACCGCGCCCGTCCAAATTTCATTCTTTTGTGTATTTTCCAGAGTTTATATAATAAACATTTTGCCTTTTAAAATGAAGGCAGAAAGGATGGTATTCCTTATTGGCCTTGAACCAAAAAAAAATGCATTTCTTCTGAATCTTAACATGACATACACAGAAACAGCAAGTTTTGTTATTTAAAAAAAAAAAAAAAAAAAAAACAGCACATGTATTTGACAGGTGTTTTTCTTTTTTTTTCCTTTTTTGAGAGGGAGTCTCAGTCTGTTGCCCAGGTTGGAGTGCGGTGGCACAATCTCAGCTCACTGTAACCTCCACCTCCCAGGTTCAAGCAATTCTCCCACCTCAGCCTCCTGAGTAGCTGGGACTACAAGCACCACCAACACACCTGGATAATTTTTGTGAGTTTAGTAGAGACGGGGTTTTCTCAAACTCCTTTGATAGGTGTTTTTGATCTTAGGTCTTCAGTAAAGCATTTGATTAATTCTTAGCCCTAAGAACAAAGTAATGGTATTGGCTTTGGTCTCAGCCTACTATTTTCCATTTCCTGCTATTGCAGGAAGAGCCCTAAGGTCCCAAGCATCAAACCTAGTACTGGGTGAACTAGGTTTGAAACATGAAACATGCCTAGTTCATCAGTTGAAAATGGCATGACAGGCAAAAAGCCTGGCACTGAGAAGCAGAATTTCCAAGAGTATGAGTGAGTGATGACGGTGGTGGCCAGTAGCAGGAAATTATGACCATGTATATTCCCCAGACATGCAGAAAAAATACATTAGTTTAAAACATGTAAGATTAGCAGGAAACTGGCAGGAAGAAAAAAAGAGGATCTTTATTTTACAAGTATTCAGGAAAAGGAAATAGTTGAGTAAATTGCTGGGTTTTATCTATTAGAAAGTCTGACATACACCATATGCCATCGTAGGGATGTGACCACTTCCAAGTAGATGATTTGGTGCACAAAACTGAGTGTTACTCTCTCCTTTTATTTTTGCAGGTAAAAAGGGGTCACTATGGAGTTCAAAGGACAGAACTCCTGCCTGGTGACCGGGACAACCTGGCCATTCAGACCCGGGGTGGCCCAGAAAAGCATGAAGTAACTGGCTGGGTGCTGGTGAGTACCAGTACCAAGAGCTGGGAAGAGTTTCATTTAGGATTAGACACAAGCATATCTGGCAGAGGTGCCTGATGTACTGCCAGCCTGAAGGTGCTTGCTCTTCCACCTCTTTGGAATAGCCCTAGAATGCAACAACCAATATGGCAAAATTGCCTTTCATAGCTAAAATCACCCACAGAGCACTGCTCCTCTTCAGAGAAACTAAAGGAAAAGTGCTTTATTGCATGTTTTGAAAACAACCAATGAATTAACGAGAGCTAATTATTTTTTCCTAAGAGCTCAAAGCAAAATCCTCACACACAGCTACGTGGCCCAAGCATTGTTTAACTCATTATCAATTAATACCTTCTTACTTGACCCTTGATATTCGTGGAGAATACTTTGATCGTATACCCTATCAAGGGTGCCTTCAAACCGACATCGTGCACCTATCCAGTTTTTAACCTATGCAGTCAGAAGTTGTCCCTGACATTTCCTCAGATGAATCCTTTCAGCATATCAAACATGGTAGCTACCAAAGTCTCCTAGCACAGGACTTGGACTACTTCTGGCAGTACCTTTGCTATGAATCCCCTGGTCATCTTATGAAATGTATAAAATAATGACCTAAATGGAACCACTGAAAAAAGAGAAGACAACCACAGAGGAATACTAGATCCTTTTTCTTTCACAGGTATCTCCTCTAAGTAAGGAAGATGCTGGAGAATATGAGTGCCATGCATCCAATTCCCAAGGACAGGCTTCAGCATCAGCAAAAATTACAGTTGTTGATGCCTTACATGAAATACCAGTGAAAAAAGGTATGCAATAAATCTCACAGCCATTTAAAAATGACTAGTACATTTGCTTAACAAGGAACAGAACCAAGTATGAAAGTATCATAGTTATTAATGAGATTCTCTAGTTAGGAACCCATAAGGGCGTTAAGTATGCTATTAAAATGCAGAGCATGAGACTCCAAAAGATTATCCGGATGGGTGACTGAATGTCATTATTATGACTTAGATGCTTTTACCTTATCTAACATGTAAGAGTCAAAACTCAAACTTGCCTAGGAATGGCTTATGTTTCCCATAACTTTCTACCTATCTACTTGGCATTTTCCCTTTGTGTTGTGACTATTATATTAAATTCCCATTTACAAGAAAATGATTGTGGGCAATTCTTGTCCTTCACTTTTAGCTTTTAAAAGAAAGGAGAGTATATTGGCAAATACCCAATTCTGTTCCTCCTCCCCTTCCTTCACTTCCAAAAAGCTTCCTCTGAAGAAACCATCCTAAGTGTCATAGCAATGCTACTTTACATTTATATAGTTCTATGAAACTGATGTCTGAATTGGCTTTCCCTTAGACAGAACAAAACTGTCAGCATGTGTCAAACCATTCCACTGTGCAGATCACTCTGCTGTGATATGAAAAGAAATATTAAGTAAAGAAGTATTTGGTCAGATTCTCTTCAGCCATAATGTATAATGCCAGGCGATGAAACAGAGCAGTAGCTAAGGGTCAAGCCATGCGTTTGAGTCTAGCTCTGCTACTAATTATTCCTCCACTTTACATTTTGAAGGAGATCTGGACTACAAAGGAAAGTCTTTAACCTCTCTGAATCTCAACTCGGTCGTTTGTGAAATGTGCTCTTCCAGTTCTGTAGTAAGATGTACCTTTGATGCATCACCCAGTAAAGCAAAATTGCCTTTCATAGCTCAAGTCATGTAACTCAAGTTCCACAGAGCACTCCGGCATGTCGTTTATACTCATATCTTCTTTTCCCCACATTTTAACGTCTTCATTTATTTGGAAACACTTAACTACCTGACATTTCGAAAGTCAGCCACATCCCTAGATGTAACTAATTTTTATCTTTTTCTTTTTTTAAACAGGTGAAGGTGCCGAGCTATAAACCTCCAGAATACATTAGTCTGCATGGTTAAAAGTAGTCATGGGTAATTACAACACCTGTTCTTGCCTAATAAGTTTCTTTTACGCCAATCCACTAACACTTTAGTTATATATTCACTGGTTTTACATAGAGAGATACAAAATAAAGATCACACATCAAGACTTATCTACAAAAATTTATTATATATTTACAAAAGAAAAGCATGCGTATCATTAAACAAATAAAACTTTTTATCACAACACAGTACATATTTGTCATTTTTTAAAAGCCACACAATAGAAACAAGACACCAAGATTTTTTTTTTTTTTTTTTTTTTTTTGAGACGGAGTTTCGCGCTTGTTACCCAGCCTGGAGTGCAATGGCGCGATCTCGGCTCACAGCAACCTCCGCCTCCTGGGTTCGGGCAATTCTCCTGCCTCAGCCTCCTGAGTAGCTGGGATTACAGGCATGCACCACCATGCCCAGCTAATTTTTTGTATATTTTTTAGTATAGACGGGGTTTCACCATGTTGACCAGGATAGTCTCGATCTCTTGACCTTGTGATCCACCCGCCTCGGCCTCCCAAAGTGCTGGGATTACAGGCTTGAGCCACCGCGCCCGGCCCTAACACCAAGATATTTTTAAGTATCTTGTCGTGTCTTGTAAAATAGCTAAACACTCATCATTCGTGGTGCAATACTCATAGACATAAGTTCCTGAAACAATAGTTTGCATGCATAAGGCATTCGCACCAAAGAAATCTGAAAAGAAAAAACAAATAGCAATTAGCAGAACTATGTTGAAGTCACCCCACTTCTCTACCCGAGAAAGCAAAGGTCTGGTACTGCAGATAATAAATGAGTGGAGCTGAGAACACGCATTCTGCTACCTCGGCTTACGATGGTTCTTTCTCCTAGTACGCTTGGTATTTTACCCTTCCTGCCAGACATAATTTATATTCACCCACCTCAACTAAAAGGTTTTTAAAAACTCATTGTTTAAAATCCCTTGTACAAAGTTTTATTTCCAAAAGATGAACAGCTTAAAGAAATTACCACACTAAAACCTAAACTGGTTTTTAGAAACATCAAATTATTTTTTTCTTATTTAGAACTAGAAATCTTACAGAGGCATGCTATCAAAATTGTGAAAATGCTGATCTGTTCTACCACACTAAATCTGCCTGGATAATCAGACCAACAGAGTTTCCTCTAAACAAATATCAACTGCCAGTGAAGTCTATACCCACCTGGGTTTTATTGCGGCAGCCCCTGCATTCATATGTATGGGTCCTGGTGTTGGCAATCGCCATTATTCCACAAAGGTTGCAAACATGAACCTGATATGGATCTGATGCCTCAAACAATCTTTCCCTTAAAAACTGGGCTGCTCCATGGGCAATCTGGCAATCTCGTTCCATTTCTCCAAAACGCAGACCACCATCACTGTTAAGAGGAAAAAAATTATTACTTTATACTTATTTTTTATTACAAACACTGCCTTGAATAATGGCAAAGGTGAAGAATAATATTTGCAAAGAAGGAGAACTAGGGTCTAATTTTTATACCCTATACCCTGGTAGAGGAGAAATCTACCAACTATTTGATGTGCATTAGAAAGTCAAATGGGCTAAGCGAAGTGGCTCACGCCTGTAATCCCAGCACTTTGGAAAGCGGAGCTGGGTGGATCTCTTGAGCCCAGGAGTTCAAGATCAGCCTGGGCAACAGGGTGAGACCCCATCTCTTTTTTTTAAAAAACATAAAGAAGGTTCCCCAAATGCAGTAGCACAGTAGATTCTTAAGTATAGCATTTAATTTTCCTCACCAGATACAATGAAGCATAAAGCACAGAGTGGAGGTTCATCATGCTATCATTTAACTTTCTAGAATTCAACTCTATACCAAAAAATGAATAATAAAAAAGACAATCTAAATAAAGCAGTTTGTCAGTGGAACGAGTTTCCCAGGCAATCAGCCTTGAAATCATAAATACATGTTGGCGGAAGTAACAGAAAGAACAGGTAAATAATAGGTTTCCCCAACATAAGAAGTAAAATGCATTATTTGCCAGGCAAATAGATGGTGATGGCTTCCTTAACATACTTAATATCCTAAATATATAAAGTAATACCAATGGGTTTATAATGATATTCCACCAAAACAAATCATGGGTTAACTGTGGACCAATGATTTGGATCATTAGACAATGAACTCATTGTTTTGAAAACCGGTAAATAAAGAGAATCAAGCATTTATTCCTGCCCTTACTATAGGAACTATGTCATTAGGTAACCAAACAGTTGAGGAAACAAAGTTTTAGAAGTAGCCTGACTAAAAACTGAAAAAGGAATGAGAAAAAATAGAATCGCATCAGTTTGTAATCCCTATTTAATTAAGGTCTTCAAAGAAGTGATCATTAATAGCTGCTAAAATCATAAAAAGAAAGGCAAGGAGATACTGGAAATATAGAATACCACCTAGGAAGTATTACTGCTAAAAAACTCAAACCCTAAATCTCAAGCTTCAAGATCTAACTATTTACAAAAAAAAATAAAAACAGCAATGCAGAGCACTTGGGATACAATCAGCACAATTCAGTCTGAAGACCCAGATACAGTCCAGTGTCTTCAATAAATAAATTACAAGGGGAAAAAAGGTTGGAGGGCAACCAACGAATTCAAAAAAAGGCTTAAGAGATGTATCAATCAATCACAAAGCATGGATCTTATTTGTATACTGATTAAAACCACAAACCTTTAAAAAAAACTTACGTGATAATCAGGGAAATGTAAACCAATATTAAGGAGGTACTGTGGTTAGGTTTAATGTCCTAATCTTTTAGGGCAGAGGTTCTCAGAGTGTGGTCTATGGACGTCCAGAGGGTCAAAGCTATTTTTTATAGTAATACAACATGTATTTTCTTCTTTCACTGTGTTTACATTTGCACTGATGGCGAAAACATAAGTAAAACTGCTGGCACCTTAGCAGAAATCAAGGTAGTAGAACCAAATGTTACAGCAGTCATATTCTCCATTCAGGTAAAGGGGAGAAAAGCCAGTTTTACTTTAAAATGTCCTTGATGAAGCAGTGAAAAAAATAGTTGTATTAACCTTGACCCCTGAGTATACATCTCTTTCATATCCTGTGACTTTAAGTCCTCGTGCTCGCTTTGGCAGCACGTATACTAAAAATTGGAACGATACAGAGAAGATTAGCATGGCCCCTGCGCAAGAATGACATGCAAATTCGTGAAGCGTTCCATATTAAAAAAAAAAAAAAAAAGTCCTCAATCAGGCATGATGGCTCCCACCTATAATCCCAGCACTTTGGGAGGCCAAGGTGAGAGGATGGACTGAACCCAGGAGTTCTCTGTATAAAAAATAAAATAAAATGGAACATTTCATAAGCAGTTCTGTATAGTGAAGATGATGGCTTTGAATAAAAGCACTTGCATGATCCTGAACTAGTCCCTTTTATCAGGAATATCTTTTTTACTTGAATAGCCAGCCGACACCAACTATGATAACGCCCATAATGTTAATTCAGACTTAGAATTAAGTTGATATTGCTGTAGATATTTGGCAGACAAAGAAATGAACAAGAAGAAATGAAAGCAAACAAAGTAAGTCTTTCACTCCAAGGAAAATAATTCTAAGTATTTGTTGAAAATGATGAAAATTTTGAGCTTCAGGCAAAAATCAGAATTTTAGAAAACTTCTATGCACCACGCTTCCTGATATATTTAAAGGTTTTTCTAATGACATCAGTAGTGATTTTAACAAATGCAATTTTAATTATAATGAAATGTGTCAACATTCGAAAATCTACATAACTCAGCAAACCAATATTTTCCAAATGACCAATTAGGATGCTACAAAATATGCATGTGTAAAAGATACATGTGAAGTACAAGACAAACTAATGAACTTTAAGCATAAGAAATACAGAAGGTTCATTCACATGGTTTCAGTTTCTACACTGAAACCAACCTTTGAGAAACTACAGCTTACTGTTTTGGTGTAGCATCAAAAAAAAATATCCATAGGCCAGGTGCCTTGGTTCATGCCTGAATGAAATTATCTCAGCATTTTAGGAGGCCAAGGCAGAGGGGCAGATCACTTGAGCTCAGGAGTTCAAGAATAGCTGGTAAACATGGTGAAATCCCATCTCTACTAAAAAATATAAAAAATTAGCTGGGCATGGTGGCTTGTACCTGTGGTCCCAGCTACTTGAGGCTGAGGTAGGAGGATCACCTGAGGCTGCAGTGAACTGTAACTGCGCCACCACACTCCAGCCCAGGGAACAGGAGTGAACCTATCTCCAAAAAAAAGGGGCCAGGCGCGGTGGCTCATGCCTATAATCCCAGAACTTTGGGAGGCTGAGGTGGGCGGATCACTTGAAGTCAAGAGTTCGAAACCACCCCAGGCAACATGGTGAGACCCTGTCTCTACAAAAAAATTAGCCAGGCATGGTGGTGCCCGCCTGTAATCCCAACTACTCAAGAGGCTGAGGCACAAGAATCCTTGAACTTGGGAGAGAGAAGTTGCAGTGAGCCAAGATCGCACCACAGCACTCCAGCCTGGGTGACAGAGCAAGACTCTGTCTAAAAAAAAAAAAAAAAAACAGAAAAGAAAAATCCACAATTACCTGGAAAATCAAAATAGTCCTCTCTCTCCACCCACTTATCTGCATGAAATCTGAGTTTCCTCATATACTTAAATATTAAAAAAAAAATACTACAATGGAATGAATGCAGAAGAAGATGGAAGAATCCAACTGTCTTCTAGCAAGCCATGTCATTAGAGAGATTCACAAAAATGTAAACCAGTGTTGTTATTATCACTAAATTTATCTGGAAAAATAGACATTTTTCATTAAACACGGTTTTGTTTTGAATGGATATGGAGTCTCGCTCTGTCACCCAGGCTGGAGTTCGGTGGCATGATAACGGCTCATTACAACCTCTGTTGCCTGGGTTCAAGCAGTTCTCCCACCTCAGCCTCCTGAGTGGCTGGGATTACAGTTGTGAAGCACCATGCCTGGCTGAAACATTTTATTTATGTTAGCATGTAATAAGCTTGTTAGTGTTCTTAAAATAATAAATTTAAAATCTCAGCTTTAACTTCTAATATGATAATTATCAATAAATACAACTCACATAAAACAAAAGCATTTTGGGATCCTGGGATCAAGAGATTTGAGAACCATTCTTTTAAGATATACACTGAAACATTCATAGAAGAAATTACACAATGTCTGGGCTTTGCTTAAAAATAATCAAGAGGACTAGGCACAGTGGTTCACGCCTGTAATTCCAACACTTTGAAAGGCTGAGGATGGAGGACTGTGGCCAGGAGTTCGAGTCCAGCTTGGGCAACACAGTGAGCCCCCCTGTCTCTACAAAAATTTTTTTGTTTTTGAGACAAAAAAAATCACTCTATGGCCCAGGATGGACTGCAGTGGTGCAATCTCAGCTCACTGCAACCTCTGGTCCCAGGTTCAAGTGATTCTCGTGCCTCAGCCTCCTGAGTAGTTGGGATAACAGGCATGTGCCACTACACCTGGCTCATTTTTTGTACTTTTAGTAGAGACGGTGTTTAACCATGTTGGCCAGGCTAGTCTCAGACTCCTGACCTCAGGTGATCCACCTGCCTCAGGCTCCCAAAGTGCTGGGATTACAGACATGAACCACTGTGCCTGGTCTCTACAAAAAAACTTTTTTAAAAAAAAGGTGTAGTGGCACATGCCTGTAGTACTAGTTACGTGGGGGGCTAAGGTGGGAGGATTCCTTGTGCCCAGTTCAAGGCTGCAGGGAGCGATGGTCATGCCACTGCACTCCAGCCTGGGTGACAGAGTGAGACTCTTACCTTTAAAACATGATGATAACACCAAAGGTTAGAGGGACAGAGATGAATGCAACAAGACTGACCACAGTTGATAACTACTGAAATGGGGTGAGAGGCACATGGGCATTCATTATCCTACTATCTCCATTTTGGTGTGCTGACACTGTTCATAATAAAAGGTTAATTAATAATGATGATGATACAGCTCTTACCGAGATCTACCCTCCATGGGCTGTCTATTAAGGATCTGAATAGGTCCCCTAGCACGAGAGTGAATCTTATCATCCACCATATGCTTCAAACGCTGGTAGTAAGTGGGGCCAATAAATATTTGTGATGTGATTTTTCGACCAGTGAACCCATTGTACAGGACCTGCAACAGACACAGATTTTGATGTACAGACCTAAAAATTAAACACCATCAAAGAAGATATGTGCATATATATATATAGTGCAGCTCCATTTATATAAAAGTTGAAACAGACAGAACTAATCTATAATGTTAGCAGTTAAGAGAGTAGTTAGCTTAGGGTGGGAATGGTAAGGTGGTGACTGAAAAAGGTTCTGGTAATTTTATTTTTAGATCTTTGTGCTAATCATGCAGCTGTGTTTACTTTGTAAAAATTCAAGCTGTACACTTCTATATGTACACATATTATACTTCAATAAAAGGTTATATCGTTTCAGAATAAAACACATACAAAAAACACAAGTGACAAATTACTACTGTAAGAGCAAATATACCTCATTTCCTCTGAGATGATAGCCATAATCGGATAAAAGATTAGAAATTTTCTGCACGTTAACAGCATCATTAAATGGAGTAGCATCACCAATTTCACCCTTGTTAGCTGATACCTTTTTTATAAAAAAAAAAATAAAAGTACTCTTTAAAATGTTGCTTCAGTCTCTCTCTCCCCAAAAGTCATATATCAACAAAAATGCATTCACATGTTTTTTAAATACTTTTTTTTTTTGAGACAGAGTCTTGCTCCAACACCAGGCGCCAAGCTGGAGTGCAGTAGTGCGATCTCAGCTCACTGCAACCTCCGCCTCCCAGGTTCAAGCAATCCTCCTGCCTCAGCCTCCTGAGTAGCTAGGACTACAGGCACATGTCACCATGCCCAGCTAATTTTTATATTTTTAGTAGAGATGGGGTTTCACCATGTTGGCCCAGATGGTCTCGATTTCTTGACCTCATGATCCGCCCGCCTCGGCCTCCCAAAATGCTGAGATTACAGGCATAAGCCACTGTGCCCGGCCTTTAAAATACTTTAAAAATTTGAAAGCATTTATTATTTTAAGTATTTTTAAATTCAAACATTTTGAACTCAAAATCCATGCTATGGAAAGCTGTGATATATTAAGGTTCATTTTATTATCTTACACAAAATATTTACAACAAATGAACTTGCCTAAAAAAGAAAATCTCAAAACTCAATCATAAGTCTTCAAATAGAAATTAATCCAGTACTTCAGATGGCTCAAGGAAGATGACATTTTAATGACCTAAAACCAAGCCATCCATGTTAGGCTATTATCACTTTACCTTAAAAAAAATCTTTAATAATAGAAAACCTCCACTGCATACAGAGTTGATAACGGAACTATAAAGTTACTATGTTCACATTGAACTAACCATCAACAAATTAACTCTTCATCTATAGAAAAGAACCAATCACAAGGATAACCACATAGGTAAGTACTAGTTGGACGGTGTATATCTCACAAAAATTGTGACTTGTCGATAACTTCGCAAATTGCCAAAAAAAAAAAAAAAATGGCGGCATCATAACCAATTTGAAAGCAGAAAAATAAGTCTCACACTAGCTTTTTACAAAGTACCCTGGCTCAAATTTGAGAAAAATCACCTATAATAGTTTTAGAAGAAGGCCAGGCGCGGTGGCTCAAGCCTGTAATCCCAGCACTTTGGGAGGCCGAGGTGGGTGGATCGCGAGGTCAGGAGATCGAGACCATCCTGGTCAACATGGTGAAACCCCGTCTCTACTAAAGATACAAAAAATTAGCTGGGCACGGTGGCACGTGCCTGTAATCCCAGCTACTCGGGAGGCTGAGGCAGGAGAATTGCCTGAACCCAGGAGGCGGAGGTTGCGGTGAGCCGAGATCGTGCCATTGCACTCCAGCCTGGGAAACAAGAGCGAAACTCTGTCTCAAAAAAAAAAAAAAATAGTTTTAGAAGAAACATCAGCTTAGAATCTATATTTTTGAAGAACATCTCTTACCTTCCCTTGAAGGCATTCAATTAAGTGACCAATAGTCATACGAGAGGGGATGGCATGGGGATTTATGATGATATCAGGGGTGATACCTTCACAGGTGAAAGGCATATCCTATAAAGAAAAGTTTTAAAAGAGACTTAAAATGTTTAACAAAACTGTGGTTTGGGTGTGAGGGAGATCAAAGATACCTACCTCTTGTCTATACTGAATACCACAAGTACCCTTTTGACCATGTCGACTAGCAAATTTGTCTCCAATCTGCGGAATTCTAACAGAGCGGACCTAAATTCATATAAAAATAAGTTAGTTAAGTGGATTTGGTTTACTTTCTAAAACTAGCTACATAAACAAAGTTGTACTCACCCTTATTTTACAAAATTTATATCCTTCCTGGTTGAGAGTTACCATAACCTGATCCACAATGCCCGTCTCGCTAGTTCTGAGAAAAGTGCTACAGTCCCTCTTGGTATAGCGTCTATTAGTGCTCTCCAATTCATCTTCATTTTCAGGCAAGGTGACTGTTTTGCCTATAATAACATCATCTCCTGATACACGAACCCCTGGAGCTATCAAACCATCATCATCCAGCTTGTCATAAATGGCATGCCTCATGCCTGTGAGCAAACAGACATGGAATGTCACATAAAGATTAAAAAACATATACATTAATCAGTACCAAGTCAGAGAGAAGTTTACAGGAATCTCTAGACCATGAATCATACCCTTATTCCAAGTATTACAAACTATTCTGACTCCATATCACAGTCAAACACAGAAAAAAAAAAGGCTATGAAGAAAAAGAACACTGGAATAAGCATTGGGAAAGCAGATTCTTCCATGACAGACATTTATCTAGTGACTTTGCATATGTTTTTTGCCATCTTCTCATTTCTATATTACAAGATAAAGAATATCTCTGCCAACAGTGGACACAGAAGAAATAAAATTAGAAAGAATATGGATGCCCTCTGCACACATCCTCCCACAGAAATTTTGGATTTCATCTTAACTCAGTCTTAACTCCACTGGACATCAATTCACTACTACATAGAACCACCCAATGGAAGGGGAATAATAGGAAGATGCCAAGAATCAAAACAAAATACATTTTACTTCATGCAATGCTATTCAGAGTCAAAGCTAGTGGTGGTATTGCATTTCCCTGGAACATCCCAACCATCCATCCCACTGCATAAGCAGTTTTTAAGTGTCTGAAAGTTTGAGCTTTCTAGAAGAAACAACAAATGCTAGGTATCCCCTTCTCACTAGTTATTTTTTAAATGTTTACAAATAATGTAGCGGAACAAATATTATGATCACACCATAATTTGGAAAGATGGGGGGTTGTGAAGTGTGTCCCCAGAAATTACATGACTTCTCTGATTTCCTAAACTTCCTCCTCAATGCAGGGCCTACCAGGAAGGAAGGTTTATAGCAAGCTCACTCATAGGTGCAAAGACTTTTATTAAACACGCATATTTTCTTAGATGTGAACTTTAAGAATAACATAAAAACATATTTCCATTGCTCAAAAAAAGAGGTGGGGGCATGGGGGCAGAGCACAGAATGACACAATGCATCAAAATCCCTTAGGAAAACCACAGTAAGTTAATTTTGGATTCCATAATATAAATGTTAATGTCACTTACCCTGGCATGTTTCACGTGTAGGCTTCTCAAAAACTTCTTCTTGATCAAATCCTTTTTTAGACTCCTGTTCTTTGTATGAGCGATAGAAAACAGACCTAAAAACACATGGTTCTAAAGGTAAAGTCTACTTTCTTTTAACAAAAGGGCTGAGACTATACCAACAATTTCTCATTTAATTAAAATTTGGGAGACAATTTAAACTATGAATCTGGGACAAGAGTAACTGCATTAAGGGTTAAACTCTAAATACTATCACATGAGCTATACATGTAGCATCTGACCCATAACCTTAACTACTTAGAATTTTATGTCAAAATGGAAAAGACCCAGGGTCAATAAGCCCAACCTCCTATACAACGTAAGAATCTATTACATAACCCTGAAAGATGGTCACCTAGGTTCTACTCAAACACTTCCAGTGTGAAGTTTTTACACTGGCCAAGCACAGTGGTTTACACCTGTAATCCTGGCACTTTGGGAGGCCAAGATGGGTGGATCATCTGAAGTCAGGAGTCTGAGATCAGCATGGCCAACATGGTGAAACCCTGTCTCTACTAAAAATGCCCAAAAAAAAGCTGGCTGTGGTGGTACATGCCTATAATCCCAGGTACTTGGGAAGCTGAGGCAGGAGAATCTCTTGAAACCTGGGAGGCGGAGATTGCAGTGAGCCAAGACCACAGCACTGCTTTCCAGCCTTGGCAACAGAGTGAGACTCCGTCTCAAAAAAAAAAAGTTTTTACATTAAGCCATAATAGCTATCATCTGACTTCTAGTGCTATCCTCTAAATTACACAGGAAAAGGAAAATCCATCCCCTCCTCTAAAGTCTCCATTTTTAAAATAATCTTTATATGCCATGAATTTGAGATGTTTGTCAATAAGACAATCAAGCTGAAGCAGAATGGAAAAAAAGAATGAAAACATAACATAATTTTAACAGCAGTTATCTATGTATTCCAAGTTATTTTTATTTCTTCTTTGGACATTTCTGTATTATCTAAATGTAAATGTATATTTCCTTACCAAAAGAAAGGCTCAAAATATTAGCATTTAGAAATTCTGAGAGATATAAGAAGTAGTATCTTCGGTTGTTTGTGACCATCAACTAGGCCTTCTGCTTTCTGGAGTAGGGTGTAGTTAAACTGTATTTTTAAAACTTTCTCTGAATAAAAAATTAGCGTTTCCCCTGTATCTGTGTTTTGATAAGTTTACAAAATACTAACCTGAAGAAGCCGCGGTCTACAGCTGAACGATTCATGATAACAGAGTCTTCCTGATTATATCCAGTGTATGATGCAATGGCCACAATTGAGTTAATGCCTGCAGTGAATTTAAGAGCATACATTAAAACATCACCTGGAAAACAGAAAACTGTCCTTTCTTTAAATCAGCTTTAATTAAATCATATTTGCCATAAATGCTTGGGTGTCTGTTATCATGGTAACTGTCAAAGTCTACTCCTCCTGGAATAGCAATTTGTGAGGCAACTACTCTGACTGCTAAATATCTCATACAAGCAAATCCTAAGACCAGTCACTCACAATGTATCTATTATTATAGTGAGTGATTACACATATATGTCACCTCCTATTTAGAAACTGCCTCCCCAAACCAAGTTTCATGATCCTCACAGCAACACTGTGCCATAAACTAGATAAGCATTATTATTCTCATGAATCAGAGCAGTGAATTAATATCCTACCCATGTTCCCAAAACTAATAAGTAATAGGCTCAAGTCCCAGCTCTTTGTCTCCTGATTTCTGATTTTAGGTTTGAAACTGGTACTATCCTATTCCCCTCTCCTTATGCCACCAAGAAAGTATCATATCTTCACCACCACAATGAAATTCTTAGTTGCTGGGCCAAAACACTGTTTGGTGAACCCATAAAGCAACCTGATATTCAGAACCTACATATCTTCATGAGGAAACAACAGTCAAACCTAAATTTAGATACAATGCAAAAATAAGTTTCCTGAACTCTTCACAAATGTCAAGGTCATGAAAGACAAGAAAAGACTGAGAAACTGTTCTAGATTAAGGAAACTAAAGAAACATGCAATTAAATTCAATGCACAATTCTGGATTAGCTCCTAGACCCATTAAAGAGATCTTTAGGCCAGGCGCGGTGGCTCACAGCTGTAATCCCAGCACTTTGTGAGGCCAAGGTGGGTGGATCACAAGGTCAGGAGTTTGAGACCAGACTGACCAACACGGTGAAATCCCATCTCTACTAAAAATACAAAAATTAGCCAGGAAGGGTGGCATGCAATTGTAATCCCAGCTACTCAGGAGGCTGAGGCAGGAGAATCACTTGAGCCTGGGAGGCTGAGGTTGCAATAAGCCAAGATTACACCACTGCACTCCAGCCAGGGCAACAAAGCAAAACTGTCTCCAAAAAAAAAAAAAAAAAAAGACATCATTAGGTTTGAATATAATAAAAGTTGATTTCTCAAAAAAAATTAGAAGATATCATTAGGACAACTGGCAAGATTTGAATTGGGACTACTGACTATATGGGTATCAATGTTATCCTGACTTTGATGGCTGCTCTGCAGAGAAGGTCCTTCTTCATAGGAAACACATACTGAAGAATTATAGAGTGATATAGCTTCACGCCTGCAACTACTCTCAAGTGGCTCAGGAGGAAAAATAAAAAGGGAGAGAATAGAGCAAATGTGGTAAAATGTTAAAAATAAACATTTTTTTTAAAGATGGTATGATGGGCTGCCCGTAGTGGCTTACATCTGTAATCCCGGCATTTTGGGCGACTGAGGTGGAAAAATCACTTGAGCCCAGAAGTTCGAGACCAACCTGGGCAACAAAGTAGATCCTATCTCTACAAAAAATAATTTTAAAAATTTTTAAATAAAGATGCCATGATGAAGTCAGGAATAACAGGACTGCAGTCCCTGCCAGCCATACCTCTCTGCATCACACCAGTACCACAGAAACATTTGCTTTCAGTATATTTATTTTCTTCTCTAGCCATAAAGAAATTGTATTATCTAAATGTCGGAGAAAACATGGCACTGCAAGCACAGCCCAAAGATATGTGCACACTGTGCAGAAAACCTAACAGATTTTGCTTTTCTAGACAAGAGGAACCCCTGGTGGAGGATTCTGAAAATAATTTTTTTATGCAAATAATCTTTATTTTTATTGGAGTGTATTGTGAGGGAAGACCTCAAAACACATACAGAAAAAGAATAAGTAAAAAAATGTTATTACATAATCATTAGAGAGAGCAGGAGGAAGAAAATAGCGCTTGGATTTTATGCAACAAGTGAAATTAAAATATCATCTAACATTTGTAAGCTGCTTTACAGTTTATAAAGTATATTCATTCATAAAATTCCACTTAATATTCATAATAATCCCATGAGGGTCACATAATCAGCATACCCATTGCAAGATGAGAATGCAGGCTCAGAGAAAATTAAGTTTTGCCCTATGTCCCACAGTCTGTTAGGGACTAAGACAGCAAAAACCTGATGTTCTGAATCACAGGCCAAGTTGTTTTGACTACACCATGCCAAGAACTTTTATTAGTTTTCTTGGTTACTTGGTATAGTTCATTATATTTTGTGTATCTCTGACTTGTGCTCAACCTGGTTCTCTACAGTGCAAGCTCCCCTGAACAATAAGTTTATTAACAACATTATCCAAATGTATAAGAACCAGGGTTGACAATCTCCCGGAACCACAGGACTCGATCAATCTTTGACTAACATCCAGCATCTTGGGCTCTTCCGTAATCAAACCATGAGAATAAAGACTAAACATCAAAGGGTTAAAAGAAAGCCTGTTCAATTAATGCTGCCACAATTATGTTGTTTTGCAGATTACAGTTTCAAGTTGTCTTGAAACTTCACAAATGTCCATCTTATCCTCCTAATAGCATGCAAACAATTGAGGTTAGGGACCAAACCATTGTGTTTTACATTTCCAGGAGCACCCAGTATGGTGTCCTAAATATAGTACACAATAAATGCTTATTTTATCAGGTGGTACCTTCTAGAAAGTAATAGTGTTAAAAAAAGAATTTAACCTGCAAGAACTTCCTATCAAAACGTTAGAGCCCCATTACAGTACAATAAAGACAAAGTCTATTAATAAATAACAAATGTTACCCACATTCAAAGCCAAAACTCTTAATACAAAAGATAACAAAATACCAAAGAACTCTACTGTCTCCCTTAATAGTCAACACTCATGCCCTTCAGATTTCTCTTCATCATTTTACCTACTATCCAGTAATCTCCTGATAATCGCCTACAAACCCAGGATTCCCCTCCTTATCAGCTACTTCTCAAATCTTCTTTCCTGATTCCTCTTCCTGAAGTCTAAAATTGTCTGCCACTGACCTTTCTCTCATTCTAAATTCTCCTTAGGCAACTTCACAGTAATCTATAATTATAATTATTATATTAAAAATTTTACATCTTTAGACTTTCTTTCAAATCATGTTTGCAACTCACTGTTGGAAGTTCTGACTTAGTGTTCTGACACTAAGACACTAACTCAAAATCAACATATCCAAAACAGAATTATTGTCTTACCTCTAAAACCTCTTTCCCCTTCTAACATGTTCCCAGTCTTATTCCCAAACCTATTAATAGCAGCTCTCTTCAATCACCCAAGCCACAAACACCAACTATATATATATATATATATATATATATATATATATTTTTTTTTTTTTTTTGAGACAGAGTCTTGCTGTGTTGTCCAAGCTGGAATGCAATGGCACAATCTTGGTTCACTGCAATCTCCGCCTCCTGGGTTCAAGCAATTCTCCTGCCTTAGCCTCCCAAGGAGCTGGGACTACAGGTGCCACCACCACACCCAGCTAAATTTTTTTGTATTTTTAGAAGAGACGGGGATTCACTATGTTGGCCAGGCTGGTCTTGAACTCCTGACCTTATGATCTGCCTGCCTCAGCCTCCCAAGGAGCTGGGACTACAGGTGCCACCACCACACCCAGCTAAATTTTTTTGTATTTTTAGAAGAGATGGGTATTCACTATGTTGGCCAGGCTGGTCTTGAACTCCTGACCTTATGATCTGCCTGCCTCAGCCTCCCAAAGTGCTGGGATTACAGGCATGAGCCACTGCACCCAGTCTCATCAGCAATATTTTCAATTCCTCTCTTCCTGTTCTATATTCAACCAGTCATAAAGTCCTAGTGTATTTCAAAAGGTATCTTACCCACCATTCTTTTTCATTTCTTTAGGACCCTGCCATTTCACATTTAGACTACTGCAAAAACCCCTAAATTATCTCCCTGCTAATACAGTACTCTTTATGCCGCTGTCAGGATGGTACTCCTAAAACATATTTCTGATACTTCCCTGATCCAAAAGGTTGGATGGGTCTCCATTTTCAAAATAAAATTCAACCTTTTCAGGCTCTCTCCACAGTGGGACCAAGCTTTCACTCCCATATATTTACAATCTACCCACACTAAGCTGACATGACTAACTGTACCCATTTCTCATGTCTTGCTCCATCTAGGCCCTTGCTTAAACCACCTCTCAAATGCAAATACCCCTTCACCAATTTTGCTCCAATCTAAAATGCCACCTTCTCCGTGAAATTAGATCTAGACTTCCAACAGGAATTAATCACTTCCATCAGGCTGTGCTTCCAAAGGACTTTGTACCTCCACCACAACACTTTCCACATACCTACCTTTTTATAGTTCATGTTTCCCACCGAACTATAAATTCCATGAGAACAGGCACTATGTCATATTTTTTTAAATCCTCCCAAGCACCCAGAAAAGTTCCTTAAACGTGGCAGGATCTTAAATAAATTACAGCAAAACTGACCATACCTGCTGGCAGCTCTCTAAATCGTAGATATTCCATGGACCGTGTAGTCACAAGTGGCTTTTGAGGATAATAGAGAACATGGGCCAATGTGTCCATGCGAACATGGAAGTTGGTAATGTAAACTCCCATAGCCTGCTTACCCATAGCAGACTGGTATGTGTTTCTAGGGGACTAAACGTAAAAATAAAAGGCAGAATCAACAAAACGTTACTATCACTAACAGGAAAGACTCTGACAATAAATCAAAAGAAACATGATTGGTAAAATTCCTTTTTTCAAAAACAGTAAGTAATAACCATTTGGAATCATCAATTACCATGAAACACAACAGCAAGTATATCAAATGCTGATTGTGTAGGAGTTCATAGCTTTTCATTAAAAGGCTTTTCCCTCCAGATAAGATTATAGAGTTACTTCCAATATTTATTACTTCTCCCAATTCCTTATACAGGTAGACAAAAAGTGATACCAACCTGGTTATGATCAGGAAAGGGAATAATAGATGCACAGACACCAAGGATCATTGATGGATGAATCTCACAGTGTGTGTATGTAGAACAATAAGCTACTTCTTTCTCCTGTAAATCATCTGGAGTCATTGCAAGCATCACTGTTTCTTCTTCCAGAGTATCAATATATTCCACTACCCCACTGGCCACAAGATCCTGCCAACTAAAAAAGAATTCACTCAATTTTCCATTTCCTAAAATATTTTAACTAACCCTCCTACTTAAAAGTATTCCCATATTTATATTTACTGACCAGCACAGTTACGTGATTAAGAGTGAAAAAGATAAGCTGCTGGAGAATAAGGCCTGGTAGAATACACACCAAACTGTTACCAGTATTTACTTGTGAAGAAGAGAGTATAAATTGGAAGGCAATTTTTTGATTTATTATATATAGTTTGAATTATTTTTACATTAGTATCCATAACTATACATTCATATAGCTAAAAAAAATATTTAACGCAGCTTCATCTTTTTATATTTCTTAATTATTCATATTATTACATCATATTACACGCAATATATTATATTTAGGTTATACAGGCTATTTGTCACTATTACTACTAATAGATTTTAACATATCACAAACACTTTTTTTTTTTTTTTTTTTGAGACAGGGTCTTGCTCTGTTGCCCAGGCTGGTACAATCGAAGCTCACTATTCCTGGCTCAAGTAATCCTCCTGCCTCAGCCTCCTGAGTAGCCAGACCACAGGTGCATTCCACCACACCTGACTAACTTTTTTATTTTTTGTAGAGATGGGAGTCTCACTACGTTGCCCAGACTGGTCTTGAACTTCTGGCCTCAAGCAATCCTCCCACCTTGACCTCCCAAAGTTCTGAAATTATAGGCATGAACCACCACACCTGGTCAATCAAAAGACTTTTAAGCTTCAACAAAATCCTATTCATTTTCTTGCTTCATAATAAAAGTTAAGAAAAACAAATGTGACTCCTGAGAGTACAGAGTTTTGGGGGGGCAATAAAAGTATTCTAAAATCAGATAGAGGTGATGGTTGGACATCCTTGCAAACATCCTAAAAACCACTAATTGTATACTTTTTTAAAATGGTTAACTTGCCGGACATGGTGGCTCATGCCTATAATCCCAGCACTTTGAGAGGCCGAGGCAGGAGGAACACCTGAGACCAGGAGTTCAAGACCAGCCTGGCCAACATGGCAAAACCCTGTCTCTACCCAAAATACAAAAATTAGCCAGGTTTGGTGGTGCACACCTGTAATCCCAGCACTAGGGTGGTTGAGACCAGAGAACTGCTTGAACCCAGGAGGAGGAGGTTACAGTGAGCAGAGATCAGGTCACTGCACTCCAGTGTGGGCAACAGAGTTGAGGCTATGTCAAAAATATATATATTAAAATTAAATAAAATATTAAAAACAAAAATAAAATAATTAATTTACGTTAAATAAATTCTATCTCAATTTTTGAATACACACATTTTCCCACTGCATGTTTTTACCTGTAGTTGTTATATTCTCTCTCTTTCAATTGATCAATATGCCTCTTCTTCAAAAGTAACTTTTGTTTTTCCACAATCAGAAGTGGTCTACAAATACGGCCTGCATCTGTATAGATCCGAATCTCCCTCTCTCGAATATCTCTGATCATAGAAACCTATATATAAAAAAAAAAAGTCTCATGAATTTTTATTTTCTCTTTATTATTAGACTTAGTTAAAAATACAATACAAATCCTACTAAGTTTCTGGAGCAACGAATTTGCCAAGTCAAAAGTGCAAATCTTAGTTTACTATTGTTTAACATTAAAAATTAAAGAATTTGAGAACGATCCAAGATGGCCGATAGCTAACATCCCGGGATTGCAGCTCTCAGGGAAGGTGCAGAGAACTAGAGGACGCCACACTTTCAGACAAATTCTGGTCGCTCACGGAGCAGAAGATCCCCCAGTGGAGGAAACACACGGGTGGCCAGCGCGACTCTCGTGGCCGGCGCAGCGGTTCTGCCGGCACCTTGGCGCGGCAGCTCTCAGAGCAGAGTAAACAGGACCAGTTTCCCTTCTGACCGAGGTTTGGAGCCCCGGGAAGGCAGAGTCGCCTACTACGGACACAAGAAGGAAGCCAGACAGGAGAATCCTGGGCAGAAAAGCACCGTCAGTCTTAACACCGCTGCTCTGGCCCTGGGAACTAATAACCTGGACGTCCACTCAAGTGACCTAATCTGAAAGTTGGTAATTTCAAAGACGACAGGAGGATAAATTTACAATGATGGGAAGAAACCAGCGTAAAAAAGCTGAGAATACTCAAAATCAGAACGCCTCTCCCTCTAAAGATGATCACAGTTCCACATCAACAATGGAACAAGGCTTGATGGAGAACGAGCGCATCCTGATGACAGAATCACTCTTCAAGGAATGGATAATAACAAACTTCGGTGAGTTAAAAGACCATGTTGTAGCCCAACGTAAAGAAACTAGGAACTTTGAACAAAGGTTTGATGAAATCCTATTGAGAATAGACAACTTAGAGAGGAGTATGAGTGAATTAATGGAACCGAAAAATACAATACAGGAACTCCGAGAAGTATGCACAGGTTTAAACACTCAAATTGTTCAAGCAGAAGAAGGGATATCAGAGGTCAAAGTCCAACTTAATGAAATAAAACGTGAAGAAAAGATTAGAGAAAAAAGGTTAAAAAGGAATGAGCAAAGTCTCCAAGAAATGTGGGACTATGTGAAAAGACCAAATTTATGTTTGATAGGTGCACCTGAATGCGACCAAGAGAATGAATCCAAGCTGGAAAATACCCTTCAGGATATTATTCAGGAAAATTTTCCTAAACTAGCAAAGCAGGTCAACATTCAACCCCAGGTAATACAGAGAACACCACAAAGATATTCCTCAAGAAGAACAACCCCAAGGCACATAATCGTTAGATTCACCAGGGTTGAAACGAAGGAGAAAATACTAAGGGCAGCCAGAGAGAAAGGTCAGGTTACCCACAAAGGCAAGCCTATCAGACTTACAGCAGATCTCTCAGCAGAAACTCTACAAGCCAGAAGAGAGTGGGGGCCAATATTCAACATCCTCAAAGAACAGAACCTTCAGCCCAGAATTTCATATCCAGCCAAACTAAGCTTCACAACTAAAGGAAAAATAAAATCTTTTACCACCAGGCCTGCTTTACAAGAGCTTCTGAAAGAAGTATTACACACAGAAAGAAACAACCAGTATTAGCCTTCCTAAAAATACACCAAAAAGTAAAAGCACCAACATAAAGAATTTACACCAACGAATGGATAAAACAGCCAGTCAACATCAAATGGCAGTAAGCCTAAATTTAAATCGACTAAATCCCCCAATCAAAAGACACAGCCAAAACCCAATGGCATGTTACATCCAGACCTGTTTCACATGCAAGGATACACAAAGACTCAAAACAAAGGGATGGAGAAAGATTTACCAACCAAATGGAGAGCAAAAATAAATAATAAATAAAAAGCAGGAGTTGCAATTCTCGTATTGGATAAAATAGATTTTAAAGCAACAAAGATATAGTGGTAAAAGGATCAATGCAACAACAAGAGCTAACGATCCTAACACCCAGATAAGAGACTTAGATTCAATGAGACAGAAAATTAATAAGGATATCAAGGACTCGAACTCAGATCCGGAACAAGTAAACTTAATAAATATTTATAGAGCTCTCCACTTCAAATACACAAAATATACATTCTTGTCAATACCACATCACACCTACCCATAAGTTTAAATGAAACATTGATTGGCCATTATTAATACCCAATTTTTTTCAAAATAAAGCAATATTTCCATTTACTCTCCCTCTTTCTCTTCCTCTTTCTTCCTCTCCTTTACTTATTTTTTTTTTTCTTTCCTTCTCTCAAAAAAAAAGAAATCAACTTGTAAACCTCTAGATCCAGGTCAGCAATGTCTCTCTCATTGCTTGATTTCCTTCCTTCCTTCCTTCCCTTCCTTCCCTTCCCTCCCTTCCCCCCCTCCCTCCCTCCCTCCCCACTTCCTCCCTTCCTTCCTTCCTTCCTTCATCCCTTCCTTCCTCCCTACCGTCCTTCTTCCCTCCCTTCCTGCCTTCCTCCTCCACCAAAAAAAAAAAAAAAAAATTTAAGAATTTAAAATTTTATGAATGAAATAATTTAACCTTGGCAATAATATCTAATGATAATGTCACCCAAGTTAACGTAGGAAATATTTTTTCAATACCACAAACACTAGTATATGACAATTTATTTTGGCTCTTTACTGATTATATCTCACCCTGTAACCTTTCAAACACCAGCCCCTATATCACTCTGCCTTGACTAGCCTTTCCCAGTCATTAGCCTGACTTCTCATATCCACCATCAGACAAATGGCCTATAGCCTAGCTATCTAATACAGTGGATATACGGTTTCACCATGTTGGCCATGCTAGTCTTGAACTCCTGATCTCAGGTGATCCACCCGCCTGAGCCTCCCAAAGTGCTGGAATTATAGGCCTGAGCCACTGCAAATGGCAAATTAACCATTTTTTTAAAAGTATACAATTAACGGTTTTGAATATGTTCACAAGGTTGCACAACCATGACCACTAATTTTAGAATAGTTTCATTGCCCTCAAAAACTCTGTACTCTTCGGAGTCACATTGGTTTTTCTTTTTTTTTTTTTATATTACTCAGCTGTTTCCTTTATATAATCCTGAATGTAGTTGTTTTTCTTAACTTTTATTATGAAGCATGTTAATTACAGGATTTTGCTTAAGCTTAAAAGTCTTTAGGTTAGCTAGATGTGGTGGCTCATGTAGCCACATGTGACTACTGACCACCTGAAATGTAGCCATTCTGAACTGAGATGTGCTGTAAGTATAAACTACATAATGGCTTTGAACAACAGTACCAAAACAGAGAAAAAAGAATGTAAAATAGTTCATTAATAATTTTTATATTAATAGAATGCTGATGTAATACTTTGAGATGTATCAAGTCAAATAAAACATGCCATTAAAGGCCGGGCACAGTGCCTATATTCCCAACACTTTGGGAAACCAAGGCGGGCAGATCATCTGAGGGCAGGAGTTCAAGACTAGCCTGGCCAACATGGTGAAACCCTGTCTCTACTTAAAATACAAAAATTAGCTGGGTGTGTTGGTACACACCTATAATCCAGCTCCTTGGGAGGCTGAGATAGAAGAATCAATGAACCTGGGAGGTGGGAGGTTGCGGTGAGCTGAGATCACGTCACTGCACTGCAGCCTGGGCAACAGAAAGAGACTCTGTCTCACAAAAGAAACAAAAAGAAGCTATTAAAATTATTTGTATTTATTTCCTTTTTAATATGATGGCTGCAAAATTTAAAATAAAAATATTTCTATTAGACAGCACTGGTCCAAAAAATATATTCCTAGAAAATATCAAAAATATGTTGAGAAAATTTACAATAAAAAACATAAGAATTATTAAAAGAGGTTGGGCACAGTGGCTCACAACTGTAATTCCAGCACCTTGGGAGGCTAAGGTAGGCAAATCGCTTGAGTCCAGGGATTCAAGACTAGCCTGGGCAACATGGTGAAACCCTATCTCCAAAAGAATAAAAAAACAAAACCCTATCTCTACCAAAAAAGTACAAAAATTGTTTTATATTTTCTTCCAGGGTAGCTGACTATAGTAGTCCTAATTACCCTGGAAGCTGGGGTTGCAGTGAGCCAAGATCGCGACACTGCACTCCAACCTGGGCAACAGAGTAAGACCCTGTCTCAAACAAATAAATTTTTTAAAAAGGAAAGAATTATTTAAAAAGCACTGCATGGAGTCTGAGAACAGCCTGGCCAACATGGCAAAACACTGTCTCTACAAAAACATAAAGATTGGCTGGGTGTGGTGGTGCACACCTATATAGTCCCAGCTACTCAGGAAACTGAGGCAGGAGAATCGCTTGGACAAGGGAGGTGGAGATTGCAGTAATCCAAGATAGCGTTACTGCACTCAGGTTGGGTAACAGAGCAAGACTCCGTCTCAAAAGAATAAATAAATAAAAGCACTGTGTAATCTGAAGTACCCATATTTAATAAAATAGGTCAAAAAGGAAACAAATAAGAATTTCTAAGGAACTATTTTGATCTATTAATAACATATAATCTTGAAAGCCAATGAAGAAATGAATTATCAGTGAGTTGGGAAACTGAAATATAGATTGGTATTTTCCCACAGAAGCACTTTTATAAAGTGAAATGACACCTGGATCCTCTTATGAAGGAAAGGATTGGGTTTATTTAAGAAAAAAAAAAAAAGATTTGGATTACTCAGTATAAAAACCATGGTACACCATAAAACCTTGATCAAAAACACCAGCCAGATGTGGTAAATCATGCCTGTAATCACAGCACTTTGCGAGGATGGGTAAGCGGATGGCTTGAGCCCAAAAGTTCAAAACCAGCCTGGGCAACATGGAGAAACCCCTTTTCTATAAAAAACACAAAAGAAAAAAAAGTCAGCTGGGCACGGTGGCATGTCCTATAGTCCCAGCTACCTGGGAGGCTGAAATGGGAGAATCACTGAACCCAGGAAGTCAAGGCTGCAATGAGCCGTAATCCTGCCACCGCACTCCAGCCTGGGCAACCCTGTCTCAAAAAACAAAACATCAAAACATCAAGTTTTTCTCCAAAATGAAAGAGTCAAAAGCCAAGAAAAAGAAAATGTTCCAAGTTCCTAGCCAACTGCCTGTCCTCAGAAAGTAATTTGGGGAGGCCAGGCACGGTGACTCACATCAGCACTTTGGAAGGCCAAGGCAGGTGGATCACCTCAGGTCAAGACCAGCCTGGGTAACAGGCTGAAACCCCGACTCTACCAAAAATACAAAAATTAGCTGGATGCAGTGGTGTGTGCCTGTAATCCCAGCTACTCAGGAGGCTGAGGCAGGAGAATCACTTGAGCCCAGGAGGTGGAGGTTGCAGTGAGCCGAGATTGCGAGATTGCGCCACTGCACTCCAGCCTGGGCGACAGAATGAAACTTTGTCTCAAAAAAAAAAAAAGAAAGTAAGTAATTTGAGGAGAAACACTGTGAGCAAAAATATCATCAGTATCCTAAAGTCCAAGAAAGATTCTGCTTTCAAATACACTACCTTAAGTTCTTAGAAAACTAAATAGCTCTACTGGCCAGGTATGGTGGTTTATGCCTGTAAGCCCAGCACTTTGGGAGGCCAAGGCAGGTGGATCACAAGGTCAGGAGTTCAAGACCAGGCTGATCAACATAGTGAAACCCCGTCTCTACTAAAAACACAAAAGAATTAGATGGGCATGGTGGCAGGCGCCCTTACAGCACTACTTGGGAGGCTGAGGCAGGAGAATCACTTGAACCTGGGAAGCAGAAGTTATAGTGGACGTTGCACCACTGCACTCCAGCCTGGGCAACAGTGCAAGACCCCGCCTCAAAAACAAAGAATACAGCTCTATGGTCCTTTTTCCTTTTTCTTAAATACAAACGGTGAAACCCCGTCTCTACCAAAAATACAAAAATTAGCTGCCCAGCAGCTAATTTTGAAACGGTGCCCAGGCTGGTTGGTCCTAAATTCCTAGCTTCAAGCATTCCTCCGACCTTAGCCACCCAAAGTTAGGCAATTACAGGCATGAGCCACCACACCTGACCATCCTACTGTCTTAACAGTAAGGTCATAAATTGAGCTGTGCCTTCTCAAAGGCCAGAGAGTATCTTGAGTCCCACAGGAAATAGGTATTCTTTAGTAAGTCAAAACAGAACTGACAGAAAAGCCTTCTTAATGGGTACAACAAGCTGGAAACAGGTAAAATAAGGACCTCTGGTATCAGAAAATATGAAGAAAAAGTACTAGACTCCTGAAGAATATACATAATTCTCCCACTTAGCGCCTCCCAACATTGTTTTCCAATAGATTAAAATGCCTAGTCCAAGGACATAGGGTCCATTTATATGTTCAACATTTACTCAATTTCTACTTTATATAAGACATACTCAGAGTTGAAAATACAAAGTCACATTAAGACATGTTCCCTGCCTCTAAGAAGCCAAAAGTGTAGTCAATGAGGCAGGCAAATAAGTTACTGTACGGTATAAGCATTCTCAGAGGTATTTAAGTAAAAGACACTATTTATAGTCACAGAGATCTAAACTGGAGAGGTCAGCAAAGGCTATTGCCCTCACCCACCAGCCGTTTTTGTAAACAGTTTTTTCAGTTATGTACTACCTATGGCTTCTTCTCACTCTAACAGCAGAGCTAAACATAAATACGCACTGTAACAAAACCTGGGTGTGGTGGCACACACCTGTGGTACTTGGAAGCCTGAGATGTGAGGATCACTGGGGCCCGGGAGGTAGAGGCTACAGTAAGCGATCATTGTGCCACTGCATTCCAGCCTAGGCACCAGAGACAGATCCTCTCAAAACAAACAAACAAAAAATACAGCCAACCTGGTGCTTAGCTCCCAACACTGGGAAGCCAAGGCAGGAAGAACTCTTGAGCCCAGAAGTTAAAACCAGCCAGGCAACACAGTGAGAGCCCACCTCTATTAAAAAATAAAGATATTGGCCCAGCACGGTGGCTCACGCCTAATCCAAGCACTTTGGGAGGCCAAGGCGGGCAGATCACAAGGTCAAGAGATCGAGACCATCCTGGCCAATGTGGCGAAATCCCATCTCTATTAAAAACATAAAAATTAGCTGGGCATTGGTGGCACGTGCCTGTAGTCCCATCTACTTGGGAAGCTGAGATAGGAGAATCGCTTGAACCTGGGAGGCAGAGGTTGCAGTGAGCCCAGATTGTGCCACTGCAGTGAGCGGAGATTGTGCCACTGCACTCCAGCCTGACAGAGCAAGACTCTGTCTCACAAACAAACAAAATAGAGAGAGAGAGAGAGAGAGAGAGAGAGAGAATTTCGTTTTTTTTTTAAGCTTTCTCTTAGCCTTGCCTGCCTTCAAGTGAATGACGCTTTTCCTGCCTTCAAGCTGTAAATAAGCCTAGGTCAAAACCCAGGGCCAGGCTAGGCTCAGTGGCTCACATCTGTTATCCCAGCACTTTAGGAGGCCAAGGCAGGCAGATGGCTTGAGCCCAGGAGCTCAAGACCAGCTTGGCCAACTAAGGCAAAACCCCAACTCTACCAAAAATATGAAAATCGGCAGGGCATGGTGGTTCACACTTATAATCCCAGCACTTTGGGAGGCTGAGGCGGGTAGATCACCTGAGGTCAGGAGTTCAACACCAGGCTGGCCAACATGGCAAAACCTCATCTCTACCAAAATTACAAAAATTAGCCAGGCGTGGTGGCAGGCACCTGTAATGCCAGCTACTCAGGAAGCTGAGGCAGGAAAATCATTTGAACCCGAGAGGCAGAAATTGCAGTGAGTCAAGATCACTCCAGGCTGGGTGAGAGAGCGAGACTCCATCTCAAAAAAATAAAAATAGAAATAAAAAAATTAGCTGGGTATGGTGATACAGGTCTATAATCCCAGCTACTCAGGAGGCTGAGGCATGAGAATTTCTTAAACCTGGAAGGCAGAGGTTGCAGTGAGCTAAAATCACACCACTGCACTCCAGCCTGGGCAAGAGCCAGACTCTGTCCCCCTCTCCAGAAAAAAGAAACTCAGGTCCTGCTGCTGGAAAAGGCCTAGAACAACCAGAACAACCACTCTTCTCTGCTTTGTTAGATACAAAGACCAGCTAATGGCTAAGTGTGTTCAGTTTCTCTCCAAAACCACTTTCAACCAAGGTGTAGATTTGGGAAAGTCAAAAGCCTGAGCTACATTCCTCAAACAGTATACTAAAACCCTTACTTGGGAGAGTAATAAAGTTCGCACTACATTGTTTTGTTTTCGAGATGAAATTTCACTCTTGTTGCCCAGGCTGGAGGACAATGGCATGATCTCGGCTCACCGTAACCTCTATCTCTGGGGTTCAAACAATTCTCCTGCCTCAGCCTCGCAAGTGAGTAGCTGGGATTACAGGCATGCGCCACTATGCCAAGCTAATTTTTTTGTATTTTTAGTAGAGACAGGGTTTCTCCATGTTGGTCAGACTGGTCTTGAACTCCCGACCTCAGGTGATCTGCCCGCCTTGGCCACCCAATGTGCAGGGAGATGGGGTTTCACTATGTTAGCCAGGCTGGTCTTGAACTCCTGACCTCGTGATCTGCCCACCTTGGCTTCCCAAAGTGATGGATTACAGGCATGAGCCACCATGCCTGGCCACTGGTACATGCTTTAATCCCTCAATCAAGTTTGAGGTTACAGGCATGCGCCACCATGCCCGGCTAATTTTGTATTTTTAGTAGAGACGGTTTCTCCATGTTGGTCAGGCTGGTCTCGAACTCCCGACCTCAGGTGATCTGCCTGCCTCGGCCACCCAAAGTACAGGGATTACAGGCATGAACCACTGCACCTGGCCTTTTGCTTTTTTTTGAGACAGAGTCTTGCTCTGTTGCCCAGGCTGGAGTACAATAGCACACGATCTCTGCCCACTGCATCCTCTGCCTCCTGGGTTCAAGTTATTTTCATACCTCAGCTTCCCGAGTAGCTGGGACTACAAGCACATGCCACCACACCCGGCTAATTTGTTTTACTTTTAGTAGAGGCAGGGTTTTGCCATGTTGACCAGGCTGGTCTTGAACTCCTGACCTCAAGTAATCTGCCCACCTCGGCCTTCCAAAGTGCTGGGATTACAGGTATGAGCCACTAGGCCTGGCCTTATTGTAATAATTTTTTTAAACCCCATCCTAATCCCAAAGCACTTCAATATCCACCTAAATATAAAAGAATCTATTAGAAGTGTATCATGTTTTATGAATGAATCTCTGGATTCAAAGGATAAATCCCAGATGGTTATTCCCTTTTTAAAAGTATTCTCAGCTTTATAAAAAGATCCCGCAAAGAATTTTTACTTTATGAGTTCTAAAATATAACTTAATAATTTAAAATGTGTCAAAATTTTTAGAAGCATGTATCTAGAGATTAAAACAAGCCAAAAAGGAAAAAAAAAAAAAAGGAAAAAAATTTTCATGCTGCTAAAAAAGACAAAAAATTTTTTTAATTTAAAAAAATAAAAAAAGATCAAAGCAAGCAATAACTTTTTTTTTTTTTTGAGACAGAGTCCCACTCTGCCACCTAGGCTAGAGTGCAGTCAGTGGCTCAATCTCGCCTCACTACAACCTCTGCCTCCTGGATTCAAGCAATTCTCCTGTCTCAGCCTTCCGAGTAGCTGGAATTATAGGCACATGCCACCACATCCAGCTAATTTTTGTATTTTTAGTAGAGATGGGGCTTCACCATATTGGCCAGGCTGGTCTTGAACTCCTGACCTCAGGTGATCCACCCACCTTCACCTCCCAAAGTGCTAGGATTACAGGCATGAGCCCCTGCACCCAGACTAGCAACAGCTTATAATTAAATTTACACTTTAGAGTTCAAAGTAATAAAGTTCAAAGAAAGGATGTCAATGCAAAGATAACATTCACTAAAAAAATTAGAAAGATAACTTTCACTAGTCGTATGCCTTGTTGAAAAGTCTCACAGAACACACCCTCTTAACTAAAGATTCTTACCTCAGACACAATGATGTCCATCTGACGTCGCAGTTTCCTTAGGGTATTCATAAGTTGTTCGGGATCTTTATGTATTCCAACCCAGCAGCCATTAACAAAAATTTTGGTTGCACTACAATGAAAAAAAACAGAAGCATTTTACACTTAACAATTCTATACTAAGCTACAACTAAAGATTAACTATAGTTTAAAAAGCTAATTCCATCTTTACACACTCAGCAATAGCTGCAGGAGAAATTTCTTCCAAATTTTCCATACTCCATTCTTCTAAAAATTCCAGAATTGGAGATGGTTGAGATCCAACTGAAATATATGCCATCAAAGCTAAATTCTTCACAAGTCCTACAGCATGGCCCTAAAAAAGAAACCAAGTGTTAGTCATTCTGATGTTACATGCCTATCAAACTTCTTTTCCATAAACATTTTTCCTTCAATTTGATTTCAAGATTTATTCTTACTTTCTAAGAATAAAATTATAAATGATATCTTATTTCTAAACTGCTCTGTATAATTTTTAAAAGTCTACTTCTAAAAGTAATTATGTCCTACATAATTACTCACTGACTTTTTGTCTTGAATATAAATTCTAATGTATTACCTCTGGGGTCTCAGCAGGACACACCATTCCCCACAACGTATTATGCAACTGTCTTGGTTTTGCTAGCTTGCCATCTCTACCAATAGGAGAATTTAAACGACGCAGGTGAGAAAGAGTAGACGCAAAAGTCAGGCGGTTTAACACCTAGAAAAAAATAACAAATCTTTAAAGTTTGGACATTTCTGTGATTCACAGGCAAAAGTTTGAACAAAAAAGGCAAATACTTGGAAAATGAAAACTAGCTTCTAAAATATCCTTTAAATAAATAGCAGAGAAAAACAAAACTGTAATTCCAGAATATGTAAGAGAAAAATTCATACTATAACACTTTGTTTATCTCCTAAACAAGAACTTCTTTTCACCTTCTCGGGCTGTGCTAAGTACCTTTCTCCAGCATTCCCACAGAGCAGTAGTGCACATCTCTTACTATAATAGTTACCGTGCCATGTTGTAATTATCTGTTTACATCTGTCTACAAACACAGACTGTCAACTACTGAAGACTGGGGATCACTGCATCTCCAGCATGTGGCAGAGTACCTGGCACATCATAAGTCCCAATAACAATTTCTTGAACTGAATCTGCAGTGTGGCATTTATCATAACACAGCACAGGGCATAATGAGCTACACATGAATGAAACTGTTTCCTCTGCTAGATGCTGATGAGCTCCTTGAAGGGTGAGATAGCATCTCATTCATGTTTGTCAACTTAGTATCACAAGTATCAAATATACCCAATAAATCCTTACTGAATTAAAAGGAATTTAAGTTTTAACTTTGCTATCAGCGGCCCCTCAAAATTTCTTAAGAATATCTAGATTTCTAGGAATAAGGAGATTGATATTGGTGTTTGAATGCCAAATCAATCAGGTAATACTAGTATAGGGTAGTTTAAACAAGGAGGAGGAGATCCCCCTAAAAAATTGCATAAAGTACATTACAGGTATTCAATCATCTATGATAAGCAAGTACATAACATTAAAATGCATAGTGAGACACTCTTTAAAACGCTTTTCTCCATTACTTCATCTGAGAATATATGTGTAATAGACCCTATATGTGTAATAGACCAATATATAGAAACCAGAGTCAGAAGTACTGCACTTTCCAACAAAGGAGGCAATGCCCGTTAATTCTCTGGATTAACTTCTAATATGGAGCTTCTAAGACATAGAAATTTCACTAACTTGGACTGTCTCACCTGCTAAACAGCTACTCTGTTAATTGAGTTTCTAAACTGCAAGCCAAAAATCTAACTTAGTAATGCTAACAGCTAATTTAAGAAAACTTCATGTTCATTTAATTCAAAAGTCCCCAGTAGTTTTATATTTGACCAAGAAAGAAAAGCAATATAGACCAGGCACAGTGGCTCATGCCTGTAATCTCAGCACTTTGGGAGGCTGAGGCGGGCAGATCACCTGAGGTCAGGAGTTGGAGACCAGCATGGCTAACACGGTGAAACCCTGTCTCTACTAAAAATACAAAAATTAGCAGGTATGGCGGCAGGTGCCTGTAATCCCAGCTACTCAGGAGGCTGAGGCAGGAGAATTGCTTGAACCCAGGAGGTGGAGGTTGCAGTGAGCCAAGATTGCGCCATTGCACTCCAGCCTGGGCAACAAGAGAGAAACTCTTTCTCAAAAAAAAGAAAAAGAAAAGAAAGAAAAAAAGAAAATAATTTACATTCAACAAACAAAATAATCTAGTCCTATCAGCATGTTTCCTACTGAACCTGTAGTCGTAGTTGACACCATTACCTGAGATACTCCAGCTCTGGCTTGATGAGCTTTCTTTTGATCACCCCAGTTTCCAGTAGCTAACGAGTATTTTAGGCCATCAGATATAATCCGTGTTTTAATCGCCAACTCCAAGTTAAAATCCTTTCCTCGATCAATAAATTTCTGTGCATAGATTCGCACTTCTTTAAGTAAATTCTTAAACATACTGCCGAATAAAATGGTATTATTTTAAACATGTAAAGGTCTATAACAAATATTGTCAACAGGAGCAATACTGCAAAAAAAAGTGTGGGGAAGGCAAGCAAAAATGGTTTGGGCAGAGTGAAAGTTGTTATTGCTCTTTTATGTCTAGAGCACAGACATACCTATAGTACATGAACACATATGGCAGGGGAGCAATTACACAAAAATGTCAAAAGAGGAGGGGCACAGTGGGAATCCCAGCACTTTGGGAGGCTGAGACAGACAGATCACCTGAGGTCAGGAGTTTGAGACCAGCCTGGCCAACACAGAGAAACCCTGTCTCTACCAAAAACACAAAAATTAGCCAGACGTGGTGGCACATGCCTACAGTCCTAGCTACTTAGGAGGATGAGGCAGGAGAATCGCTTGGCCTTGGGAAGGGGAGGTTGCAGTGAGCCAAGATCATGCCACTGCACTCTAGCCTGGGCGACAAGAGCGAAATTCTATCTAAAAAAAAAAAAGTCAAAAGAGGCTCCTTAGTGGGGCAGTATCAAAAAAAGGCTGAAAAACACTAATCTATAACATACTAAATAACAAAACACATGCAAAACACTGCCAATGTTATCCTTTTTATATTGTCTACATATTTCATTTTTGAAAACATCTTTTTTCCAATTATAGGAAATATAAAAACATCAAGAATTAAAAATCGCACATAATACCAATACTGCGAGACTATCACTGATAGTATTTTTAAATATTTCTCTCCAGCTTTTGTATATATGTGTACAACAATACAAAAGCAGGACAAAATCCAATATCCTTAGGAAAACCAAGGCAATAATTCAGCTTTCTCAAACATCTTACAAAGCTACCAGAGGAATAAAGAAAATATAAACACATAATATATTTTCCTTATAAACTTGGCTTTCCTAGACATGAACCAAAACTAAATCTGAGCAAGTAGCAAAAAGAATGTAGCTAACTTTATAAGCACCCAACGTGGGTGCCAATACAGTTTAGCCTGGCCATGTGCAATGACCAATCTCAAGTGAAATAAATCTCCCTGTTTTAACAACTTCATTATGTAATTTCTTACCCTCTAAATAAAAATGCAAGCAACGGCCCAGCAAGATCCAATCTCTTGTTTCCATAGTGATCTCTGTCGTCTAGTTCTCTTCTACCCAAAGCTGCTAGAAGTAACCTATGAACCATATATCTAGAAAGAAAGAAAAAGGAAGGAAGGAAGGAGGAAGGAAGGAAGGAAGGAAGGAAGGAAGGAAGGAAGGAAGGAAGGAAGGAAGGAAGGAAGGGAGGAAAAAAACCGTTTTAGGCTTTTTTTCTTGACTTATATGTTAAAAACATCATTTTTAACTTTTTTTTTAATCATCATTTTTAACTTTAAGAAAAACCTTTATCTCGACTATATCTTGATAAAGAACTTAAAACAATGAAATTTAACATACCCCAAGAAATAGGCTTTTTTGGTCTCACAAAAATCACTGACACCAACATGAGGGAGCATTTCTTTTTGTAAAACTTCCTTTGCATATTTAATTCTTTTCTCTTTAGTAACACCAGGCTTTGCCCCTCTTGAACCAATGAAATTTAGTGCAACATTCTGTTCTTGGATGACAAAAGCTTCATCAAGAGAAGGTTTAACCTATCAGATAATTTAAATGAAAGTTATTTTCAAATTCACGTTGTTAACTTAAAATGAGTAAACTACCACTTAGTTCATAACTAAGCCAAGCATCCCTACAAACCTAATTAAATATGCAAGCATTTTTAGAAAATCAAGAAATCACAAAATCTTAGAAGATACCTCAGAGATCTAGAGGCCTCTGACAAAATCCACTCATTAGCACAGGTAACTATACTTTCTAGAAAATACAAATAATTCCATTATAAAGAGTAGTGTGTGGCTCATCTCATGCCTGTAATCCCAGCACTTTAAGAGGCTAAGGTGAGCAGATTGCTTAAGTCCAGGAGTTTGAGACTTGTCTGGGCAACACGGCAAAACCTTGCCTCTATTAAAACTACAAAAAATCAGCCAGGTGCAGTGGCACACGCCTATAGTCCCAGCTACTTGGGAGGCTGAAGTGAGAAAATCGCTTGAACCTGAGAAGTAGAGGCTGCAGTCAGCTGAGATGGTACCACTGCAGTCCACCCTGGGTGACAGAGACCTTGTCTCAAAAAAAAAAAAAAAGAGTACTGTTTCTTTATTACATTTTACCAATGGCAAAATAAAGTTCCAGATACCTAAAATCAATTTACAGAAGTTTCATAGTCAAATTAAAATTCACTGAACTATACAAATGGATAAATGTGCCAGATTGTTTTCAGTTTTGGTATTAAAAAATGTTTAGCCTGGGTGGCGTGGCTCACTCCTATAATCCTAACACTTTGGGAGGCCAAAACAGGAGGATGGTTTGAGCCCAGGAGTTCAAAACCATCCTGGGAAAGAAAGTGAGAACCTAAATCTACAAAAGAAAAATAAATTTGTAATCAGTGTGCACCCTGGAGTAAAAAAAAAAAAAAAAAAAAAAAAAAGATTTAAATTGAACCCAATATTTTGCAAAGGAGACTATTTTTATTTTATTTCATTTTTTGAGACAGGGTTTCACCCCACTGCGCTAGCTGGAATGCTGTGATGAGATTCTGGTTCAATGCAGCCTCAACCTCCCAGGCTCAAAGGATCCACCTCACTCTCCCAAGTAGCTAGGAGTACAGGCAACACCACCACATCCAACACACCCAACTATTTCTTCTTCTTTTTTTTAGAGACAGAGTCTTGCTTTGTGGCCCAGGCTGGAGCACAGTGGCACAATCTCGGCTTACTACAACCTCCACCTCCTGGGTTCCAGTGATTTTTGTGCCTCAGCCTCCTGAGTAGCTGGGATTATAGGCATGCATCTCCACACCCTAATTTTCCATTTTTTGTAGAGACAGGGTTTCTCCAAGTTGCCCAAAATTGTCCAAGCTGGTCTCAAACTCCTGGCCTCAAACAATCCACCTCAGCACTCAATCCTTTCAGCACTCGGCTTCCCCAAGTGCTGAAATTACAGATGTAAGCCACCATGCCAGCCCAAAGGTTTTTTTGTTTAGTTTTGTTTTGTTCTGTTTTTTTTGAGATACAGTCTCGCTCTGTCTCCCAGGCTGATATATAGTAATGCGATCTCTGCTCACTGCAGCCTCAGCCTCCCAGGATCAAGTAATTCTCCTGATTCAGCCTCCTGAGTATCTGAGACTACAGGCACACACCACCATGCCCAGCTAATTTTTGTATTTTTTAGTAGAGATGGGATTTCACCATGTTGGCCAGGATAGTCTCGAACTCCTGACCTTGTGATCTGCCTTTCTCAGCCTCCCAAAGTGCTGCAATTACAGGTGTGAGCCACCGTGCCCAACCCAAAGTTATTTTAAAAGTACACTGAGAAAGAAACCTGTATTCCATTCCTGCCACTATCTGTGGCCTCTGGAAAGGCATGTAATGGATTTCCTACCTACAAAAGGGTTACATAAAATAATTTCTAAGTTGCACACCAATTCCAATATTCTAAATTTCCAACTATACACAATAATGAGCACGAGAAATGAAGGGTAACATTTGACCACTCTGACTTCTGTATGTACCCTCTGATCTTATCCCAGGCACTGAAATGCCTTTCTTGCCCTTGATTTCCTGTCTTTTAATCACTGATCCACAATTTTTTTTTTTAAAGACGGGTAGAGGACCCAAGGGTCAAACAAAAATATGAAACACTTCTCAAATTTGTATGTCATCCTTACACAGAGGTGTGCTAACCTCTATATTGTTCCAATATTAGTACATGTGCTACAAAAGCAAGGACCATACCACAAGTTTAAACATCAAAATTCCAATCATGGAAACAAAGAAAAAAGCCCTGTAACCAGTCAAAGCAAGGCCACAGATAGTACAGTAAATCAAAGGGATACGTTTTTTAAAGGAAATTGCCATTGTTGTTAAAAAAAAAAAAAAAACCTACTTTGTTAAAATATAGATTAGAAAAAAAAGAATAACAGTAATAATGCACTTTCAGAAGGAAAAAAAGCAGTTTTATGAAGTGAATGCTTAACTCAGAGACTTGTAAAAATTGGCCTAAGCTTCCTAAGTGCTGAAAAAACAAACAGTAATACACAAAGGGATAACATACATAAAGCATATCATATTTTTCACTTTACTACGTAAACTTCAGGTTGGAGCCGGGCGCTGTGGCTCATGCCTGTAATTCCAGCATTTTGTGAGGCTGAGGAGTATAAACCATTTAAGTTCAGGAGTTTAAAATCAACCTGGGCAACATGGCAAAACCCCATCTCTACCAAAAATACAAAAAATGAGCCAGGCATGGTGGTGCATACCTGTGGTCCCAGCTACTCAGGAGGCTGAGGTGGGAGGATTACTGGTGCCCCGGAAGTCGAGGTTGCAGTGAGCCATGATTTCACTACTGCACTTCAGCCTGGGTGACATAGCGAGACCCTGCCTCAAATAATAATAACAATGAGGCATATAACTACTGGCAAAATCTGAAAGTACAATCTAACCAGAACCCATTTTTCTCATGTAACCACATCAACAAATATTCAAATAACTAAAATGCACTCCCCATTCTAACTTTGCGACAAAGATTTAGCCTTCAGTTTACCTTAATTCTCTGTAGTCTTAAACACTCTGGACAATTTAAGACAACTTTAAGAATATCATTTACTGTTCAGACAAGGAACCTCAAGGGGAAAAACTGGTAAGGAATTGGATATTTAACCCCAAAAACCCTTCCCATAAAAGGTTCTCACAAAAGTAGTAACCTTACAGTGGAGGCACCTAACAGACACGACTGTGAAGCAATCAAAGTTAACAGTACCACTATTGGGGCAAAATGGCATCACATGACTCCTGAGACACTCTGGGAAACACATATTCCTTAAACATTTTTTCTGCTAAAAAAATGCATAAACTGAAACTAATCATGGAGAATTATGTGAAAAACTCAATTGAGGACAATTCTACCAAATAAATGGCCTGCCCTCTATAAACTTTATATGTTATGAAAGACAAAGAAAGGCCAAGGAGGCCAGGCATGGTGGTTCACACCTGTAATCCCAGCAGTTTGGGAGGCTGAGGCGGCAGATCACTTGAGATCAGGAGTTCGAGACCAGGTTGGCAAACATGGTGAAACCCCGTCTCTGCTAAAAATATAAAAACTAGCCAGGTGTGGTGGTGTACACCTATAATCCCTGCTACTGGGAATGCTGAGGCAGGAGAACCCTTGAATCCAGGAAGTGGAGGTTGCAGTGAGCTGAGATTACACCACTGCACTCCAGCCTGGGTGACAAAGACAAACCTTGTCTCCAAAAAAGAGGCCAAGGAAAGATTTTAAAAGACTTTAAAAGACACAGAAACAAAATGCAATGCATGATTCTGAATTGGACTCTGAACTATGTAAGATATTAAACTTGGCTAGTCACAGTGGCTCATGCCTGTAATCCCAAAACTTTAAGAAGCGGAGGTGGAGGGATCCCCTGAGGTCAGGAGTTCGAGACCAGCCTGGCCAATTTGGCAAAACCCCGTCTCTACTACAAATACGTAGTGGCATGCGCCTGTAATCCCAGTTACTCAGGAGGCTGAGGCAAGAGAATCACTTGAACCCAGGAGGTGGAGGTTGCAGTGCGCTGAGATCACTCCAGCCTGGGCGACTCAGTAAAACTCTGTCTCAGGAAAAAAAAGATATTAAACTTAAATTATTATACACTATTAATGTACAGATCTTACTACTTAATAGTTTTCACTATTATCAGGACAACTGACAAAAATCTGAGTAACATCTATACATTAACAGTATTGTATCAAAGTAAAATTTTCTAATTTAAATAATTACACTATGACTATCTAAGTGAATATCTTGATTCTTAGAAAACATGCACTGAAGTGTTTGAGAATAAAGGGCTACTGCCTATAACTAAACTCTCCAATGGTTCAGGAAAAGAAAAATGTGTTATATATAGAAAGAATGAATGATAAAGCAAATGTGACAAAAGTAACAAATGGTGAATTTGGGTGAAGAGCATATAAGACTTTTCTATATTATTCTTGCAACTTTTTTTTTTCTTTTTTGAGATAAGGTCTCACTCTGTCACTCCAGGCTAGAATGGGAAGGCATGATTAGGGCTCACTGCAGCCTCCACCTCCTGGACTCAAATGATCCTCCCACCTCAGCCTCCTCCGTAGCTGGAACTACAAGCACATGCCACCATGCCTGGCTTTTGCATTTTTTGTAGAGACGGGTCTCCCTATGTTGCCAAGACTGGTCTCAAACTCCTGGACTCAAGTGATCCTCCCACCTTGGCCTCCTAAAGTGCTGGGATTATATGCATGAATCACCACGCCTGACCTTTTTGTAACTTTTCTGTAAATCTGAATTATTTCAAAATAAAAAGTTAAACAACAGACATCAACTACTCATCTTCCCTTTTTACTAAATTGCACCAAGCTGGTGTGTTTCTGTAAGCTTCCTTACCACTGCTTCTTCTTGCTGCTGTCATTAACTCCAGCTGCCTCTGGTTTTCATGTCTATTCTACACCAAACTGACAGAAGTGAGGCCCAGGAAGGGCTGAAAGCTTCTACTACACAGTAAATGGCATGAGATTTGTGACAGCTAAATTACTCTTCAGAACAGCTTTCTACTATGTTTTAAGGTTAGCAACAATCAGTAACTCTAAATCTCTTATAAAGCTCTGAATACATTTTGCTTTCACATTACCATTTCCATCATCTCTGGATCTTCAAAATCATAAATAATGTGTTCTAAAATATCTCTGTCAGACACAAAACCTAATGCTCTGAACACAATAATGATGGGAACTTCTTGCTTGATATATGGTAGAGTTGCCACAATGCGCTGACCAATAGCACTCTTTTTTGCACCCTAGAAAAATAAAAATATCATTAGAACATGAATATACCAAAGCTCATGGCAATATAAAAACATGAAGAGAACCATTTAATACACAAATTATTTGTGCATATTTCAAAAGAAGCATGCCTCCCATACTATGAGGAACCTCCTATGACTGCTTTTCAAAACCACTGAAACAAGTATACTAATTTTACACACAGGTGAGTCACTTAGACCTAAGAGAACTTCCATTCTCTCCTATCTGCCTGCCAAGATTCTCTCAGAATTACCCAATACTATATTTGGAAATCACTTTTGGCTGCAAAAGAATATGAATAATGATTCCTTAACTCTCCCCACCCTACCTCCCACTCCAAAAACAAACCTCTGAAGAATGAAAGAGATGAGGGGTTAAAAAAAAAAAGAGAATATGAACAGACAAATATGGAGAAAAGCTAAGCACACAATGAAAAATAAATATTAAATCAGAGCGGTCTGTGAGGCATTTCCTTGTTTCAATGTTTCAAAATTAACGGCCCTTTTCACACAGCTTCTTTTTTCCAATTTTTCTCTCTTTAATTGTACATGCATACAAAAACAAATTAAAAGTTACTAGCCTATGACATACCTGATTTCTCAGTTTTAATCATATTTGTCTGATTAAATATCAATTTCACTCTATCTTCCCTTGGCATCATAACCCTACATTATTATGATTCCTCTAATAATTTCCATCATCTTCCTCCTCCCACCACAGGCCTCCTTCTTTAGAACTCCTCTCATGGGTTTGTTCAGTAGAAACTTTTCATAAGTGACACCCAAATCTTCATCTTGATCTTTTTCCTGTGCCCCCATGTCTCCAACTGCCAACTGGTTGTTTCTACTTGGACATCAATTATTCCATTTTTGGAATCAATTATTATTTGTTTCATCATCGATCTTATTTCAGAACACTCAGAACATTAAAAAATAATATAGAATAATAGAGCTGGGCACAGTGGCTCATGCATATAATCCCGACGCTTTGGGAGGCCAAAGCAGGAGGACTGCTTGAGACCAGGAGTTCAAGACCACCCTGGACAACATAGTAGGAACTCATCTCTATAAATATTTTTTAAATTTTTTAAAGAAAAATAAATAATGTCTACAACATGCACTCCCCAAAAAGCTTGTCCAAACTGAAGTTATTACGTTCTCTCCTAAATCAATTACTGGAAATTCACCACTCTCCTGGAACTTCAGAATAGAAATCACTGTATCTTAGTTGACTCATCCTTCTATCATTCTGCCCCCATTCCCATCAAATACTTGTACCTGGGCCCCATTCCACCCCCATTCCCATTATTGGTCAGCAGATTTGGAAAGGTGGCCCCCTTTTGTACTTAGAAGAGTCTTAGGTTATTGATGTGAATTTTTAGTTAAAATCCACTAATCCAGATCCACCCTGATCATCTACTTGTCACTCATTATTCAACATACTCCATCCAGCTCAATCAAAGCTATCTTCCAGTGATTCTCCAAACACTCATCCCCACTCTCTTCCAATAAGAATGTACTTCCAGTTTCTCTCTGCTTATATAAATCTATACTATCTTTCAAAGTGTAAGTCAAATCCCATCTTCTCTATGAAGTGTCATGAACTGGTCCAGGCAGTGGCTCACACCTATGATCCCAGCACTTTGGCAGGCCAAGGCAGGCAGGTTACTTGAGCTCAGGAGTTAGAGACCAGCCTAGGCAACATAGTGAAACCCTGTCTCTACTAAAAAACACAAAAATTAGCCAGGTGTGGTGGTGCATGCCTATAATCTAACTACCTGGGAGGTGGAGGCACGAGAATCACTTAAGTCAGGAGGTGGAGGTTGCAGTGAGGCAAGATCTTACCACTGCACTTCAGCCTTGGCAACAGAATGAGATCCTGTCTCAAAAAAACAAAGTTTGCATGGACACACCATACTAGCAATCTCATTCTCCTCCAAATTTCTATAAAACTGTTATATATAATAGGTGTCATTTGACCTCTGCACTGTGTTACTACCATTTAATGTCTAAAGCTTGTATTCCCAATAAAACCATTGCTTTCTTTCTTTCTTCCTTTTGAGACAGGGTCTGGCTCTATCACCCATGCTAGAGTGCACCTGGCACCAATCTCAGCCCACTGCAACCTCAGCACTCAATCTTCCCACCTCAACTTCCAGAGTAACCGGGACTACAGGCACCTGCCATCGCACCCAGTCAATTTGGGGGGTTTTGTTGTTGTTTTGCTAGAGACAGTGTTTTGCCATGGTGCCCAGGCTGGTCTCACACTCCCGGGCTCAAGCAATCCCACCACCTCAGCTTCCCAAAGTGCTGAGATTACAGGCATGAGCCACCACACCTGGCCATCTTCTCTATAAGGATTGTGTGTTTTAATAATCTCTTGCAATACCCAGTAATATTGTGCACATGGGAAGAATGCTTATCTTACAAATAAAATATTATGAAAGGCTGGGCACAGTGGTTCACGCCTGTAGTCCTAGCACTCTGAGAGGCAGAAATGGGCAGATCACGAGTTCAGGCATTCGAGACCAGCCTGGCCAAAATGGCGAAACCCCGTCTCTACTAAAAATACAAAAATTAGCTAGGCATGGTGGCAGGTGCCTGTAATTCTAGCTACTCAGAAGGCTGAGGCAGGAGAATCACTTGAACCTGGGAGGAGGAGGTTTTGCAATGAGCCAAAATTGTGCTATTGCACTTTAGCCTGGGTGACAAGACCAAGGCTCCGTCTCAAAAAAAAAAAAAAGAAAACGAAAAAAAATTTCATCAAGGTTGAAATGAAGGAAAAACTGTTAAGGGCAGCCAGGGAGAAAGGTCTTGTTACCCACAAAGGGAAGCCCATCAGACTAACAGTGGATCTTTCTGCAGAAACCCTACAACCAGAAGAGAGTGGGGGCCAATATTTAACATTCTCAAAGAACTTTCAACCTAGAATTTCATATCCAGCCAAACTAAGCTTCATAAGCAAAGAAGAAATAAAATCCTTTACAGACAAGCAAATGCTGAGAGATTCTGTCACCACCACACCTGCCTTACAAGAGCTCCTGAAAGAAGCACTAAACATGGAAATGACCAACCAGTACCAGGCACTCCAAAAACATACCAAACTGTAAAGGCCATGGACACTGAAGAAACAGCATCAATTAAGGGGCAAAATAACCAGCTAGCATCATAATTACAGGATAAATTTACACATTAACGTTAAATGTAAAGGGGCTAAATGCCCCAATTAAAAGACACAGACAAAGTCAAGACCCATCAGTGTGCTGTATTCAGGCAACCCATCTCATGTGCAAAGACAAACATAGGCTCAAAATAAAGGGATGGAGGAATATTTACCAAGCAAATAAGAGCAGGGGTTGCAATCCTATTCTCTGATAAAACAGACTTTAAACCAACAAAGATCGAAACAGACAAAGGCATTACGTAATGGTAAAGGGATCAACGCAACAAGAAGAGCTAACTATCCTAAATATATATTCTCCCAATACAAGAGAACCCAGATTCATAAAGCAAGTTCTTAGAGACCTACAAAGAGACTAAGACTCCCACACAATAACAGTGGGAGACTTTAACACCCCACTGTCAATATTAGACAAATCAACAAGACAGAAAATTAACAAGGATATTCAGGACTTGAACTCAGCTCTGGACCAAGCACACCAAATAGACAGCTACAGAACTCTCCACCCCAAATCAACAGAGTATACATTCTTCTCAGCACCACATCACACTTATTCTAAAATTGACCACATAATTGGAAGTAAAAACACTCCTTAGCAAATGCAAACGAATGGAAATCATAACAAAGTCTGAGAGACTTCTCAGACCACAGTGCAATCAAATTAGAACTCAGGATTAAGAAAGTCACTCAAAACTGCACAACTACACGGAAACTGAACAACCTGATCCTGAATGACTACTGGGTAAATAACAAAATTAAGGCATAAATGAAGAAGTTCTTTGAAACCAATGAGAACAAAAACATAACGTACCAGAATCTCTGGGACACATTTAAAGCAGTGTCTAGAGGGAAATTAATAGCGCTAAATGCCTACAAGAAAAAGCAGGAAAGATCTAAAATCGACACCCTAACATCACAATTAAAAGAACTAGAGAGGCAAGGTCAAACAAATTCAGAAGACAAGAAATAACCAAGATCAGAGCAGAACTGAAGGAGATAGAGACATGATAACCCTACAAAAAAAAAAAATCAATGAATCCAGGAGTTGGTTTTTTGAAAAGATCAACAAAATAGACTGCTAGCCAGACTAATAAGGAAGAAAAGAGAGATGAATCAGATACAATAAAAATGATAAAGGGGATATCACCACTGATCCACAGAAATACAAACTACCATCAGTGAATACTATTAACACCTCTATGCAAATAAACTAGAAAATCTAGAAGAAATTGATAAATTCCTAGACACATACACCCTCCCAAATCTAAACCAGGAAGAAGCTGAATCCCTGAATAGACCAATAACAAGTTCAGAAATTGAGGCAGTAATTAACAGCCTACCGAATAAAAAAAAGCCCAGGACCAGACAGATTCACAGCTGAATTCTACAAGAGATACAAAGAGGAGCTGACACCATTCCTTCTGAAACTATTCCAAACAATAGAAAAAGAAGGAATCCACCCAAATGCCCATCGATGATAGACTGGACTGGGAAAATGTGGCACATATACACCATGGAATATTATGCAGCCATCAAAAACGATGAGTTCGTGTCCTTTGTAGGGACATGGATGAACCTGGAAACCATTATTCTCAGCAAACTGACACAAGAACAGAAAATCAAACACCGCATGTTCTCACTCATAGGCAGGTGTTGAACAATGAGAACACATGGACACAGGGAGGGAAGCATCACACACTGGGGTCTGTTGCGGGGAAAAAGCGGAGAGACAGCGGGGGGTGGGGAGTTGGGGAGAGATAGCATGGGGAGAAACGCCAGATATAGGTGAAGGGGAAGAAGGCAGCAAATCACG